GTCGTCTCAAATCGCTAGCAATCGCCATATGGTCCACATTTCAAGGCAAATAATCAGCCAACAATTGACAGGTAGATCGATTGTTGGCTGATGATATTAACTACATAACTACCACAAAACGTGTCCAAATACTCTTTCTTTATAACATTAGAAAGTTATTTTTCGTAGCTACACAAAGACACCAAAATCATGCAGATCTAATATACGAGTAGAAAGTTATGAGCATATTTAGACAAAACTCTCATCGAGTGCCTACATATCGACCAAAATCGCCATCTATCTTTCGATGGGTAATCCGATGATCTAAAAATCAACCTATATTATGAGCCATCATTTGATAAATGATCTGTTAATTCAGAAGTCGGTTAGAATTGATCACTTGCGTGACGAGCTTTAAATTTGTAACCCGACACATAACTAATCCGCAAGTGTACGGATGTCGTAGTACCGGGGTCGAACACAAGGATTTAAGCGGTTAAGCTAGGAATCGACTAAAACTAGGAAAATGGAGAAAAAAAAATCGGAGAATTGTTTTTGTTGGTTTTCGTAAGTTGCAGAAAATTAAAAGAAAGAAAGTAAAATCAAAGACAATCACAATTCAAGAGGAGATAATCGATGGGAAAGGTTATGGGAATGGGTTTCACCGATCATGCAAGGATGCCATAAGGAATTATGGACCTAGATTATGTTTGTTCTAAAGTGAGGGATTCCAAGACTAAGGTCGGGTTCGGTTCTTTCGACCCGAAAACCCGCTATCCAAGAGAGCACTCTATCCACTTTCGTGGCTTAGAGTGAAATTCCCGAATGCATTAAATTCCCTTGTCACGATCCTAGACTGATTTGAACCGAATTTCTTCACATTCAATCTCAACCCATTTCAATGAATGCACCAAGAACCAAGAATCCATGTCTCCATAAAAATTCTCAATCATAGATTCTACCCAAGAGATTTTCATCCAATGGGAAGCATTAAACACTATTCATTAAACTCTAGCAATCAACCCCAAACAATTGCATCACTCAATTCAACAAATCCTACGTTTCCCTAAACATTCATTCAAGAGAGATGAGAGATAATCATGAAGAACAAAATTCTATTCATTGCAAGAGTTTGAAAGCATAAACAAGACAAAATCTTGAGTACATAGTGATGTATGCGGACCAATGAGCTGTCCAGCTAGAGGAGGTTATCTGTATTTCGTTACGTTCACTGATGATTTCAATCGATACAGTTATGTCTATTTGATAAGACATAAGTCTGAAACACTTGAAATGTTCAAGGCTTTCAGAAACGAAGTACAGAACCAGCTTGGCAAGACGATCAAGACACTTCGATCCGATCGTGGTGGCGAGTATATGAGCCAAGAGTTCACTGACTATCTGGTTGATTGTGGTATTGTATCCCAATTAACTCCTCCTGGAACGCCACAATGGAACGGCGTGTCTGAACGGAGGAACCGAACACTGTTAGACATGGTTCGGTCTATGATGAGTCAGACAGATCTTCCAAAGTCCTTTTGGGGCTATGCTTTAGAGACCGCTGCGTACCTGCTGAA